TGTTACCAAGGACTTCGTATGGTACATGACGGGTCTGTTCTAGATTTCCGTTCGGTACATAAAGGGTGTGTTCCTCCAATGAAACAGTATGGTACAGCAACACAATCTTCTAGACTAGAGCTTGAATTACTCAAGCCAACATATATTAGTCAAGAAAAGTAGTAAAAGTCAAATAAGGCAACTTTAATAGGGAATTTTCATATTTTTTTATTTTTTTTATACATAGTGATCAGATATTACATAGTTTTCTTTTTTTCCATTTTAATCTATACGTTGTCAGGGGCGTAGAGCCAACAAGGGGGAGGGAGACGGTGGAGCCTCCCCCCTAGGGCGCAGTTGGCACAGGGGCGCCAAAATAGGCAAAGTGCAAAAAAAAATATATTTTTTTTGCCAATGCCAAAAGACAAGTTTCCGAGTAGGTAATTAAATACTATTTCACAACTATTATAATTGAGAATGGATAGTATTTTCATGCTAATTCAGCATGCACGCTCCGGCAGTATTATTGTGAACATGCACGCTCCAGTGAAAAGATCCGCTATGTTCCGCTATCAACTGCCAATACTGGATTTTACGTGCTAATTTTACTGTCATTTGCCATTCCGATTTCAGCAGCGTACTGTTTTACTGCAAAAAAACGTACAGTAGGGAGATTCTAAAGTCACGATTCGACACGCAATTCGATACCGACCCTGTCGTCTCGAGAGGTACGATTCTATGAGATTCCAACCTAGGATTGTCGGAAAAAATCGTCTCGTTTTCGAGTCGTGTGTCGAATCGTGATTCTAGAATCCCCGTCCAGTAAATATTAATGACGTCACTGGCGCATTCGAATATCATTCAGTACTGAATCAGTGTACTGAAAATAACATCGAAACGGCGTCTAGTGAATTCAGTACTGACCGTGACTTGACACGTGAAAAAAGATAAGTGGTGAATAAGTGACATAGTGACGTCCGTCAAAATTCGCACCTTTTGCTCGGAGATGCAATGGACTTTTCTCATTTTACCTGTGCTGCGCGCGCCACTTGTGGGGGACAGATAAATTAGGCAATCTACTGACATGTCAAAAACGAAATTCAATATGGAAGTTCGGGTCAAGCACTGTGTTGTTTATTCTATATGTCATTGATTCTATCACATTCTGGACAAACGTCCAGATTTGAATTATCGGATTTTGTATTTTTTTGTGTGTTTAGGTATTGTGTTAATTAAAATGCCAGCGATTTGCATCGTAATTGGGTGTGGAAGTCGAGGTAACAGGAAAAAAGTGATTTTTTTTTCAGTTCCTACTATTTTAAATCATTGGAAACACAGGGCTTTATGGATTGCTGCAATTAAAAGAAAGGATCCAACAGAGGCTCGATTTTCCCTTAATAATAATACCTTAAAATATTCACTCTCCATTTCAGAATTTATTAATAAATTAAAAAATACGTAGAAACACTATAAACACTATAAATATCACTTTGAAAACAACAAGGGCCAGAACACTAAAAAATACGTTGAAATACTAAAGACTATAAAATTCACCGTGAAAACAACAATGGCCAAAACCAATAAAAAATACGTAGAAACACCAAACACTATAAAATTCACTTCGAAAGCAACAAGGGCCAGAACACAAATGTGCACAAATGCTCTCCTTATCACCCTTGTCACGGCAATATTTGACCCGAACGGCCTCTCTGACGTTTTTTAAGCTGCTACACGCTAATTTATATATTGAAGAAAAGTTAATCAAATAAGGATAATAAAAAAATATATATATATATATATATTATATATATCGATTTAGTTTATTAATTATGTTTCTTTAATAACAGGTTTGGGGTCAGCGGGGTGTAGCAAATAATGCCTAGCTAGTCCGGTGTGAGTTCGAGCGCCACTGGCTCGACGCAGCTTGAGCCAGAGAGCCTACTGGTTTTCAGTACTACCCCAAAACCCTAATTAGACAAACAGACAATTCTTGTGAAACAAAACTCCCTGAATATTTTGAGTCTAATTTAAGTAATAATAGATGATTCTGTTTAGTAGTAATTAATAAATTTATAAAACCTAAAAATATTGGCCAATCCCAGTTGTGATCACAACCGGTTTACACGGTCTTTTATACGAATAAAAATTATTTACTGAATTGCCTAAATTTATTATAAGGCCCACAGGCCACCTTTTGTTTGAAACTTTATGAATTAATTTAATATTTGAAAATAAAAATAATCTATCTGCTTTTCCACCAAGTTGATATAGAAAGATTGCTCTTCATCCCTTATTAAAATTTCTCTATGAGTTAGGTACTTAGCTGGAACACGTGTTGTGTTACAAATCCGAGAATGGAAGCTATCTGTCAGGACATCCAGTTCCAAATCGAATCCAATAGGTTTTCTTTCTCTTTGAATGCCGATCGAATTGTCTATTTAATGGTGGTTGATTGGTAGGACTACACTAACATCCAAATAGGAAGAGAAGCCCTACAAGATCGGAGGAAAGGAAATAGTTATTTCTAGAAAATTCGTTGGGGTCAAAAAGTTTGACTTACGTAGTTGTTGTGTGGCTTTGAAGTAGTTTATTTCCTCTATAGCTGGAAAGCTATAATACTTCCAGACGAGAAATGTTCTACAGAAGGAATCTTGTGTTAGTTACAAATAAAAAAAACCAGTTTGGGCTTACCTCAGAGGTCAAAGTGGAAGGCGGAATAAATCCGGCAAATAAGCCGATAGCGGTAAATTTCACCGATAACTAACTCACTCAGGAGCAAAACCAAATAAATTTACTGCCAAAAAAAAGTATCTCACTTTCCCAAAACTGGAAACCAAAAATGTGGTTTAATTTGTGACGATACAGTCCACGCGACCAAATGACTTCTGACCGACCTTTTTCTGTTCGGTACTTAGAACCCAAAAAAAAAAACTAATAATTTAAATAGGTACCATCGGAACCACTGCCGACACCTTGGGGCAAAAAAACGAATTCCAACAAAACTGCGACAATTTGCAAAATCGTACCTAGAAATAAATAATGATCTTTCAAGGAACCATCAAAAGAGGCCACCACTTGCATGAACATGGAAAATAATTCCAGCCTAGTATTTGAATGAGTCCCCCATAAATACATAAATAGATTCCTTTAAAAAAAACGTAACAAAGCTAACCTCAATAATCAATCAATTTTTCTGAAAATTATTAAAAAACTGTTTATTATACATACAATGATTCAAATGTGTTGTGTGAGATCTTGTCAGAGTAAGGCGAAAAAAAAGTCAAACCTTTCTTTTAACAAGTTCCCAAGCAATCAAATTTTAAGAAAACAATGGTTACATGCTCTCAACCTGACTGAAGACGATTTAAGTTGGGAAAGAGATTAGAGGGTTCGTAAAATAACGATTTCTATATCAAATACAATAATAATTGTACAATTAAAGGTTTGCTAGCACTTGTAAATTCGTACTTCTCAAATTTTTCTAAACTTCACCATCATGTTTTTGTCATATTTACATTCAAAAATAAACAAAAACCGAAACATAACCGCAATTTGACAAGTGGAACCAATCAAAGTCATTTCACACAGGTATCGCGCGTTATTGTATATGTCTCTTTCTTTATTGCAGAAATCTTAATAAACTATCCTTGTTGTTCATTGCATGAGAAAGGTCCATTACCGAACCCAGCCGCTGATACGGTGCTTTCGGTGATGTAAGTGACGTACAGGGTTATTGGTTATAAATGTCACCCCCCTCTGTCTTTTTTATTTGACATTTTGGAAAGTGTACCATATAAAAGGTTTATGGTAGAAAATATTTTTTTTTTTTTCAAACTTACTTTCGCACATAAAGGGTGTTTCAGAAAAGATGGTCGTGGTCCAACTCTCTTATTTTAAATGCGAAATACCCTGTTTATCATTGAATATTCGGATTCTACGTAAAATCACAGCATATACAAAAACTATCAGCAGGCTAACTTGAGCTTTGTATCCTTGAATGGCAGTGTGCGCAGAAGAGATGCGCGTGAGAGTTAACCGGCTGTTTGTCTTTGTATAATAACCGTTAAGGTTTTATAGTCTGTCAAAGTTGCAAAAAGTCCGTTTTTTCTTCGCCTTTAAATTGCCTTCGCGGCGCTTAAGGGGCGCCCGATCTCAGTCTCCCCCCCTAGGGATAGTCATATCGCTACGGCCCTGTACGTTGTACGGAAAAAAAAATATTGTAAATCAAATCAAAAACTTTGGCGCGGAAACGCGAGGTTTCAATATGACAGCGCTCGTGACGTCAAGATTTCGTAAACAACAAACGCAGCAAACGAACTCCTGCTGACACAGTGCTATTTTTGTGTTATTTACGTGCGTCAAAGTTTGCTTTTTATGAAAATCGTCTCAATGGATGAAGAATATTGTGAAGGACTGCTTTTCAAAATTTTATACCACTTGCAAGTTCTCTATTGACAAGTTTGTTTACAGAATCGTGACGTCAAAAAAGGTAGCCATCCAATGACATACTGTCATAGAAACTTGTTTGGCGGGAAATTTTTCATATCAAATTTACTATTATTTTTTGTGTAACAAGGGCGCGGACCGGCGCGGTGCAGTATAAACTATCGATTGAAAACAAATTTGGAAAATTTTATTCCACTTGCAAATTAAGTTTCCTATTTAGACGATGGCGATTTGGAGTTAGAGTTTTTTAAATTTTGATTAAAATCTGCCGCCCCTTTTCGTATGCCGCCCGGGGCCATGGCCCCCTCTGCCCCCCCCTCGCTACGCCACTGAGTAGGTAGTAGTAGTTCAATCAATCTTTCCCATTTTTAAAACGCTCAAAATCCAACACAAATTTGATTTTAAACAATTTAAACTAATTTAGATCGAATAAAATTTGGTTGATACAACTGCACTCTCACATATAACAATTTTTTAGTTCTATCCTCTCGAAATTACTTTTAAATTTTCAACCGAAAAATGTATGTACCTAGGTCCTTTATGTGGAAAAATAACCTAATTTTGTCTTGTTCTAGCCAGGCAGAGTCGCAACTTTGGTGGAGGATAGTGAGGTAAGTTAAATAAGTATTTTAAGTATTTAAAAAAAAATGGTATTTGCATATAAAAATAGGATCCTTTGAGGAATTACACTTACTAACATATAATTCCAATGCCACTTTTTCAGAAGAATAACTGGTGTTATTCAATTCCAAACTACATTCATATTCGTGGTTATATTTTTGTTCATAGATAACGTCTATGGTGACCGGTCTTGAGCTTTTCTCTTCCGGCGCCAGTGGTTAACCAAGCATCTACTATTACATACAACACATTTTTTTATGGCAAAGAGCAAATTAAAACTGGAAATTTTTGTGAAATTTGTATTTGATCAATAAACAAGTAGCTTGAAAATATTAAAAAAGAAATAAACTGGAAAGCCTGATACTAAAATGTCCACCCCACTCACTTATTATTCACATGCGAATTGATAATCGCCGGCACTTAATTACCTATGTTAATAAATTATGCATCTATACATACTTAGATATTATATTAGAGACATTGAGTAGGTACTTGGTACTTAAGTAGAAAGAACTTTCACTTGTCAGTTTCAGTCTTTTCATACCTATTTTCATTTTCGAATTAAGTGTATGTACTGGGTGTTTTTTTATATATTGACACCCCATCTACAGCCTTTACCTTCACAAGTAGAAGAAAGGTGGGAATAAAAAAGTTGTACAGGTTTGCCCAAATTTTTAGAATCCATGGTCAGAAACAAAAATTGAATGTCAGAAATGTGAAATTTTGCATCTTTTCAGCTTTTTCCAAATAGGATGCCCTATATTTGGTTCTATATTCTTGAAGAGCACAATGCCTCGATTCCAAAAATATATAGTTTGTCTATATTTGGTTGAGGAGTCTCCTATATATTCGGGTCCAAAAATTGTAAAAATACTATCCTATAACTGATTTTGTGAACCATATTCTACCTGTACAGGTGAAATAAGGAAAGCTACAGGTGAAATTTGAGGTACTTGGGCTGGAACTCTGTAACGGTTAGAGATCGTTATCCCTATCGCTATGGCACTTGCTGTTTTCTTCTCACTTCTCGAAATCAATAGAGAGGGGACGTCAATAGCAATAGAGAAAATATCTGTATTCGTTATAGAGTCCCAGCTCGGTTTCCCATATAGTATTTTTAAAATTTTCAAACCCAAATTTGTTGGAGACGGCTCAACCAAATATAGACAAACTACATATACAGGGTGTCCGTTTTAAGTGATTGCACTATTGCTATCTCCGAAACGGTAAGATATACGAGGCCGGTTAAATTAGAAAAAAGTTGCCTTTTTTGATGCCCATTCAAGATTCGCTTATAGTTGGGGAGCTGGCGTCAAAAACATGCAAGAGTTTTCGCAAGGCTGATATTTTCAAAATAGGTCGTACTTTAGTGCTAGAATGCTAGTGTACAGTCAGCACTCACAGTTCCGGGACAGCTGGCTCTGGGACGCGGGCAAAGTTGTAATTTTAAGAAGCATCTAAACTGTTTTCTCAAAGCTCAAAATTTATAGAAATTTTGCACATTATCTGTTTGAAGGTCACAGATAACGTATGTAAATCGTCAGACGTCTAGTTCGTTGCAAAAAGGGGGTCAGACGTCCTCGAAGTTTTTATTTTATGGCATTTTCTTCGGTGTCCTGTCAAAATATATTTTTGCAGGTATTTGACAAATATATTTGAAGAAAATGCCATAAAATAAAAACTTTGAGGACGTCTGACCCCCTTTTTGCAACGAACTAGACGTCTGACGATTTACATACGTTATCTGTGACCTTCAAACAGATAATGTGCAAAATTTCTATAAATTTTGAGCTTTGAGAAAACAGTTTAGATGCTTCTTAAAATTACAACTTTGCCCGCGTCCCACAGCCAGCTGTCCCGGAACTGTGAGTGCTGACTGTACACTAGCATTCTAGCACTAAAGTACGACCTATTCTGAAAATATCCGCCTTGCGAAAACTCTTGCATGTTTTTGGCGCCACCTCCTGGACTATTATAGTGTTGCCAAATTCCTTTCAGTTTATGAAATACAGGGTGATTTCTAAGAAACGCCTAAAACTATTTCATCAATTATTTTGAAAACTATTGATTTTCGGGACACAATTTAAATTTGAAAGTTTATTAATTTTTATCGCTCTACAACATAGCATCTTCAAATTTCGAATCCGACGTTTCGTGATCGAGCTGCCATCATCAACTTCATTTTTTAAATACGGACCTGGATTTTTAGAAAGCTCCCTTTATTCGCTTCTCAACGATATATCTCTTAAGTATGATTGGCCGACGTATCTGCTTTAAAAGGTGATCATCAGTGATTTTTACCAAAATTTTACCTTAATTCGGCCCTGGAATTCGTTATTTGTAACAAAGACGGTTTAACTAACAAGTATTCCTTTCCTTTTATTAAGAGCACTTAGAATTATCTAATTATAAACAATATTGAAAATAATGACTTAGAAACTAATTATTATTGTGAATATGTACTCAAATTGACGTCCATTATTCCTCAAGCATCATCTGCAATTTTTCACAATCTTTTTTTTTTGAATATTATTTAATATTGCTTTTCATGCAACAGTCCGCGAAATTCAATTTCGCGGCCGCCACACCTTACGTGGTGTGTAGGTATACCATGACCGCGAAACTTTCCAGCATTCTCGAGATTATCTTGCCTCCAAGCAACAACGACATTTCGCGGCCTTGGTATACAAATAACTATTATTTATTTTAGCACATGCAGCCCTTATCATCTCTTTAAATTCTTCTAATATCTGGTATTTTCGTAAACTCCATAATGAAAATAACTGTACTCTTTTCATTTAACAATTATTATAAAATTAATAAAGTCCAATAAATACCATTTTAAAGTCACGTGATTTTTCTCTATCCTTGTTGAATACATCTTAATATTCACTCTTGATGGTAAAATTGAACAAAAAAAATGGTGGCCAATTATTGTTCATAATTAGACTATCCAAAACACGTGACAAAATATGGCCAGCAAGAGGCACACAAACATTTGACACAAACACAAACCATAACGTCATTACGTTATGTCATTAATGATCATAATTAAATACTCATTTTCTATTGTGTGCGTCTCAATTTTTGGCCGTTTCTACCCAATTACGGAACCCCTATTGTTTCGGCAAGACTGCTCTACCTACATTTCATTTGGACACGCAGGACCTACCCTTAAAACGTGAAAATATTTATTTGTTGCAACTCCACCGTCCAGTGTTGTGCTTTGATTTGTATTGTTTTTTCACAAGTTTGCTCTAGATTTGATTGAAGAAAAAGCCTTGTATCACAAAAGGTTTAAGAATTGCTTCTAGAAAATTTAGGTGTCCTCATTCCTTAAGAAAGTTTGCGCTTGATATTGATACCTAATATATTTTTTATGACTTACTTTAAATAATGGATACAGGAGCATCTACAGAAAGACGATGGAACAGGCAAGGAAGATCCGCATCCAATAAACAAAAAGAGTAACGACCTACGCGAAAAAAAATTAAGAAATATACATATGTGCTTCCAATTTGAAAGCAGATAATATTAATTCATACTACTGTGGGGGCCAATTTTTGACAATATACGTTAAATTGCGTATTCGAAGATTTGCGAACAAAAATAAACGTAAAATATACGTAGATATCTATTAACCCATTTTTGACCGGTGTGCGTAAATGGATAAACGTAGATATTGCGAATTCGTAAACATACGTATAATTGATTTGGCAACGTGGGAAATTTTAGAATGTTTGACAAATTTTTGACGTGTTTTTGCCTTTTTGAATTAAATTTGACGAATTGTGGGTGTTTACGATAGTGCTAAATTATGGAAGAAAGCCAGTGACAAAAATTAAAAGAAAAGGGATTCGCATCCCGCCTGTGAAAAGCAAAAGAAACTTGTGAAGTATGTGAAAAGCAAGCTACACCTAATCCGGTTGATAGCTACCGCTTGCGAAAAATTTCAACGCGTAATCAAGACCCACCGCAATAAACTAACTGTATAACAAACATTGCAAAACAACCTTCTAAATAACATTCATTTCCTACTTTAGTCAAGACATCTGAATCTGTTGGTCGTTGTGCCAGACGTGTATGAGGTTCTAAACATTCAACCAAATATCTAACAAGCTCTTTCGATAATCATAAAATAATAAACAGGATGTTTATTTGTAATTTGTACTGTAATTTGTACTGCTTCAAGCAGATCTCAGCAGCAGATCAGCGTTCACCTGTCTCATATAAGCTCATAAATAGCAGATCTTCCTAATTTTTCGAGCAGGTAGAACAAGCAACACCCTTTAATAAACTGTCTTTGGGTCGGTTTCTCAATAGCAAGTCACTCCCGGGTTAAGCATAACTCCAGGGTGAACATTGCAACTGGACACGTTTAACCTGGAGTTAAAACCAACCCGGAGGTGACTCGCTATTGAGAAACAGGCCCTTTGGTTTAGCTCTACGAATGGATTACGGCGGTTATGTCGATGGTTGCGTCGATTTCGTGTCTCCGCGTTTTCCAAATAACGAATTGCCAGCACATTCATCAAGTTTTCCATATTATAGTAGATACACTTTGTAATCAAGAATACGAGACGATAGAGCACATTCTCTGTGACTGCACTGCTCTTCCGCCAATACTCAGAGCCAGTTTAGGCCAATCGTACCAATCACTAGAAGAGATCTGAGGCACCGCCTTCGACGACGTCATCGCCTACGTAGAATCGCTAGGCTGGATGACGAACTAATGATGACCTCTCCTCTTGTGGAGGCGCACAATGGGCATAATTGTGGCCTAAGTGCTGTAGCATACCTTATATATCACCCTCCCAGATACAGAGGTAGTAGATACACAATAATCCAATAATAAAATCGCTATCAAACAAATTGACAAACAAAAACAACCTAACATCCCCACTTGACACAAGAAAAACGAATACGCAAACCGAATAAGGCGACTAGAATACCGCTCGCAGAAATGCGAATGAAAATATGCGCATACGAA